TGCCCACAGCCCTGAAGCCGGCATGCCCTCGCACACTGCTCCCCATCCGCGAGTCGACGCGTCCGTCGTGACCACGACACGTGACGTCACCAAGCCCAGGGGAACCCCCCGGCTGATGCAGCCGCGGGAGACTGCGATGTGCAAACGGTCCGAAGTCCACGCCGTCCAAGGGACTCGAGATTTCAGCCATAACTGCAGCGGGCACATGTGTAGTAAACCCAGATGACATACCGCTGATGCCGCTGCCATGAGTCCCTGCAGCCTCTAAAATTCCTTCAAGTGAACAGAGCTGCCCAGTCTGAAATGGCACCGGGAAGACAAAGTGGCCGCCAAGTGCTCCCGAGAGAGACGAGCGCGCATCTCCACCGAGTCGAAGCACACTCTCAGATACGTTATAGACTGACTCGGGGCGAGAATGCTCTTACGCACATTCACACATAGCCCCAAGAACTCCAAGTGACGAAGCAGTTTGTCTATTATGGCTGGCTATAGTGTGTCCTGTGACTGAGCTAAGATCATCCAGTCATCCAAATAAGTGAGAACGCACATCCCGCTCGCTCTGAGGGGGGCGAGAGCTACGTCCATGCACTTTGAGAAAGTGCACGGGGCCAAAGCCAGCCCAAACGGGAGAACAGAGTACTGGTACGCTGTGCCCTCGAAAGCAAATCTCAGAAAGCGTCTGTGATGCGGTGCTATTTGAATGTGAAAGTACGCGTCCTTTAAATTCACGGACTCAAGCGGTCCCCGGGGCAAATTCGCACCAGAATCTGTTTCAGCTTTATCATCCTGAGCGTACGCTTGCAGAGCGCTCTGTTGATGGGCCTGAGATCTAGAATCGGGTGGAGTCCTCCATCTGTCTTGGGCACCACAAAATTGAGGCTGAATTGAAGGGCGTACCCACACTCTATCACACCGAGTAACCAGAGCGAGATTCCCGGAATAGTTTTCCACGCGATCAGGAACTGACATAGCAGCTTTAGCGGCTTGGTCGTAGGATGCGCCGGCGAGTGCTGCGCGGCTATAACCTGTGTGGGCAGCGGCTCTGCACCGCTGTGAGGCGGGGCGAGTGGCGCTACATTGACTGAGTGAGGAGGAGAGAGCTCTTTTGTGCAAATGTATGCATTTTTTAATGATCACACACTCATCAAACACAAATTTGAACAATTTTGAGACAGCTTGGGGGCTGGGCCGATCGCGTACGCTTCCCTCCACTCCGCGCCTCGGCATAACGTGCCTCATAGCTTTGCATGGCGTTTTAACCAGTGTGGGCGGCGGCATCTGCGCCTGTCACTACAGACTGTGAATGGCTATACGACCTAGTTGAACACCACTTCGTAGGGGCGTGAACAACTGACGTAATAGTCCAGCGAAATCTGGAAGGCTGATAGGACACGCGCCGGGGCATCGTGACTCCTCGCCTGTGCATGCTTTTCCACGCAGCGGCATTCGCGCGCTTTTTTCGCACGGGCATCAGGTGACTCCTCACCTTAGCTTGCTTTTCTGCGAATCAGGTGACTCACTGTCGCTCTGAGGCGGGGGCCGCTTTACTGCTGGTGAGTGGGTAAGCGACTGAAGCGCTTGTCGCCGCACTGAAGCGGGGGCTGCAAATGTCATACTCACCTGAACGCTGCAGAGGAGCGGCAATCCAGGCACCGCCCTCTGATGAGCGAACCTAAATTGTGAGCTGTAAATAGTTTATAAGCCATATTCTTAGGTTGTTCAGCAAAGTGAAGGAGAAGATTCTGACGTAATTGTCACGTGCACCGCATTTTATACTGCCTCTCGAGCGTGCCAGTATTTGCATGCGATTTGCATACTTCGCAACAATTGGCCAGTCATTTGGACTGGCTTGAGCCAATAGGACTTCAGGAAAGGTTGGAAGGGAAGGTGTTCCCATAACGGAGAAATGTCTCCGTGATGTCTCCTGAAAGCTCGAGAGGGAACTTTGATTTGGATTTCATGGAGTCTGTCCCCACTCTAGTATGCCTACTTACTATTTTGAAAGGCATATTAGCTGATACTACAACACATGCATGGTCAGAAATAAGCAGCATTGCTTAATGTCACAGTGAAGGACATGCTCCTCCATCAACGGGGTGTGTGTTGAGCGATACTGAGATATCAGAGCTTACGCACTGTGTCAGATGGCGTGCTCATGATGCTTATCTGAGTGTGTGATTCCGTGTGTCAGTTTACACGAGGGTGCCTGGCGTGATCGTGCAAGTCGGTGTGTATGTTCCAGAGGTGTGTGTTCAAAATCTGTGCTGCAGTCCGGGGAAGAGATTAAACGAGTGTTCAGATGGTACGGGGTGTGTGCGTGTAAGACGCTGCAGTGAGGGGATTAAGTGGGGTCTCTGATGATGTCTTGTACAATGAGGGTTGATGGGTGTGAAAGGCCTATTCCACTGTGGTAACGAAGCTAATGAATTCACTCTCTAATCGATTGTCTCAGCTCTCCATGGATTAGATGCAACCTTGCTGGAACGCGCGAAGGTGTGTATGTGCCTGCACACGTGATGCTCGCCCCGGCCCTTTCCCGGTGCTCTCACTTTCATCGCTGAGAATGACAGGACAGGAGGATCATCTCCAGTCTAAATGAGATTACAGCCCCTTCAGCTGCTTATCTGAGCTAATGCCAGCCGCTGCAGAGCCAGACTCGTGCTCTCAGCCTCCCATTCAGACCCAGCCTCACAGCTACCGCCAGGCCACGGAGGAACCACTTGCCCCACACCATCACACTCCGTCTAATCCCTCTGTCCAGAGAGATGAGGATAATTTGCAGCGAAAAGAGGGCAGAGGGGGCTGGAGATAATGCAGACATTTTTAAGATCCTTTTCATCTTTGTGGTACAAAAACAGACTCGCACTGCTATTAAGCAAGTTTTTTTGAGAAATTTGGAGAGTGGAACAAGGGGGTCAAGGCTGGATAGCACATAGTGTATGGACTTACTTGTTTTGAAAGACATACTGTATTAGCTTTTTAAAAGTAGCTATGTATTCTAATACAGTATGTCATTTTTAAATATTGTTTTAACATCGTATTTATACTAATATCTTATAGAATATTCAAAGGTTTGGGGTCAGAAATAATTTTTTTAACACATTAATAATTTTATTCAGCAAGGCCACAATAAATTGATCAAAAGTGACAGTAAAGACCTTTAAATTGTTACAAAAGATTTATATTTAAAATAAATGCTATTCTTTTTTTTCCCAGGATTCTCTGATAAATATAATATAAAATATTATATGTATTACCCTCATTTGTAAGTCACTTTGGATAAAAGCGTCTGCTAAATTATTAAATATCAATTATTTAAATATAAATGTAAATATAATCACGGTTTCCACAAAAATATTAAGCATAACAACTGTTTTCAACATATACAAGAAATGTTTCTCAAGCACCAAATCAGCATAATAGAATGATTTCCGAAGAATCATGTGACAATGAAGACTGGAGTAATGAGTAAATTGCCATCACAGGAATAAATTACATTTTAAAATATATTAAAATAGGAAGCCATTAATTAAAATTTTGATTATATTTCATAATATTACTGTTAAAAAAGTTGCCATAGATTTGATCAAATAAATGCAGCCTTGGGGAGCATAAAAACCTTCTTTCAAAAATATTGAAAACATTTGATAGTGTATTTAGAATATTTATGTAATGTATGTAACCGCTATTAATTTATTATATATGATTATTCAAGCTTTCCCCGTTTTATTGCTTCTAGAGGGATTAATTGCATAAAGTGCTCACTAACATGACAGACGAAAAACGACGAGTCTTGAAGTGTGTGCTTGGCATTAATCTGTTTCTCCATTTCTCTCTTTAGGAGAGTTCACCAGTGCTGTGGCCAGCCGTCTCACTCTATAGACTTTCCCAGTTGGGTTCCTCTCCCCAGCGTGGCTAAAGAGCGCCACCAAGCGGTGGCAGCGGCACTCTGGTCCCACTTCTTCCCCTTCCTGTGCAGCATGAGGCTTTCCCAGACACCCCCGCCACAGCTCGCGGACGCCGCAGCAGGTCAGGGAAACGGAGAAAATGAACTCTTGTTCCCTCAGGGGCTCTCTTTGCATGGCTGTCTTTTCTCTGTGGGCTCTTCTCTAAAAGAGCTGAATTGAAAGGAACTGTAGACAGACGAAAAACGACGAGTCTTGTAGTGTGTGCTTGGCATTAATCTGTTTCTCCATTTCTCTCTTTAGGAGAGTTCACCAGCGCTGTGGCCAGCCGTCTCACTCTATAGACTTTCCCAGTTGGGTTCCTCTCCCCAGCATGGCTAAAGAGCGCCACCAAGCGGTGGCAGCGGCACTCTGGTCCCACTTCTTCCCCTTCCTGTGCAGCATGAGGCTTTCCCAGACCCCCCCGCCACAGCTCGCGGACGCCGCAGCAGGTCAGGGAAACGGAGAAAATGAACTCTTGTTCCCTCAGGGGCTCTCTTTGCATGGCTGCCTTTTCTCTGTGGGCTCTGCTCTGCTATTAGGCTTCACACTGTTGGCATTAGACATGCCTGGCTCTGCCCCTCAAAACCTACAGCCCCACCCCATCCAGTCCATTATGCAGAGCTTCGGCTGGGACGAGATGCTCCACCCCCTGCTGGTAACCCACTATCTAAATCACCTGCTGCAAAATGGGTGAGTGTCTTTTCTCCATTTACACTTTCTTCTGGTGCGTAGTTGGACTGTGAGCTCAATAATGATTCTCTCTCACAGAGAGCTTGTCAGTTGGGTCAGCTCTGGGCCAGGCTCAGGTTCGGCCCAGGCTTTGTGTGTACGTGCCTGGATCCGATGTGTTCTACAACAGTACCTCCATAAAAGCCCAGATGCTCCAGATTCCAGAGCAGGTACAAAGGTCTCATCAAGTCATAACGGGCATGGTATGGCAAGTGGTTAAAGGTATAATTCACTTAAAAATGAAAATTCTGTCATCATTTACTCAACCTCATGTAGTTCTAAAACTGAATGACTGGTTATGGTTTTTGTAAAAACAACCTGATGTATTAAGAATTTAACAGTAAAAATTGTCACTATCCTGGACTTTACACTTCAGTCCCTTTCAAGGAAATTCAGTTCACTCATCGGCCATATTTGCAGTTCTTTCAGGCAGCTATTTTGGACATGCAGGACCATTGCGGTCCCAAGCGCAACTATTTCTATGAGAACTAGAGCATCTAACGGCAATCGCTCTTTTATCTAGAAGGCGGCACTTATTCAACCATACTGCAGTTTTTCCCATTCATAATAATATAAATGAACCATCTTGATGTGTATATATATATAGTCTTCAGTCTGGTAGCAGTTCTTCTAACATTTTATGACTTTTGGCAAACCAATGTGAAAGGTGCATTTCTCCCACCTATTGGACTGGAGTGTGAAGTGCTCTGTGGTGCACAGGAGAGTTAAAAAATCAGCCACCACGATTTTACTGTTAAAACTATTTAACTATCAGGGCGTTTTGCCCCAAAACTGACAGGAGCACAGCACTTTATTAAGGGCTATACACAATGTATTGCGATCAAATTCACCAAACTGGATATTCAATTAAGATTCAATTATCATTATCTACAGAAAAAAGAAAGCCATACAGGTTTGGAATGACATGTGTGTACGTAAATTATGAAATAAAATCTTTTGGTGTGAATTATTCCTTCAACCCCAGTTATTACAATCATTTTGGTGTGTCAGAGCAAGCAGCTGTATCATGTGTACAGGCAGAAATCTGGATGAACAGCTGGCCGAGTTAACCAGGCAGGTCCTCCGACTTCCAGAAGTGGAGTCTGTGCTGCAGAGAGCAGGACTACATCCTGTTGCTGCCAAAGATCCCAAACCTGCAATGGCTGTGTTCATCAGGGTACACACACACAAACCAGAAGCTCTAACATATAAGGGTAACATAGTACTCTAACGGTATCGTATTTCCAACACTGTGTGTTTGTGGATTACTAGGCTGTGGGTCAATCATACTGTGAGCTCCAGCTCCTCTCTGAGCGTTCTTCAGCGGTGTCCCGAGCACTAGAGTATGTTGGAGACATCCTCAAATACATCAAGCCTTACCTGCTAAACAAGAGCCGGGAGGGTCTACAGCTAGCATACTGGACTGTAGTTCAGTGCTTTTTGACACAGAGTACTTTATTTGTTGAATGTCATTTTTCACTTGGAAATTCATCTAAATACAAAAGTCAAATGGGCTGCGAACAGCACTTCATGTTTACTGTATACTTATGAAAGTTTTTATACTTTTATACTTATGAAAGTACATTTTGTACAAGGCTGCTTGGTCAAGCACTGGAGCTACCTGTTGGCCACCTCCAAAGCTCAGCAACTGCTCTTCCGCATTGTAGATGTGCTCTTATTGCCCCACGCTCTCCTCCAGCAGGACAGTGGCACACACACTCAAATGCTCTCAGCCCTGAAAGAAAGCCTGCCTTTGTTTCTGCAGGTTAACGCCACCAAATCCAATACACACTCTATATTCAGACTATTGGAAACATCTTTCCCTATATAATCCGTGTATCATTCGATCATTCGTTTTTTGATTTAATATTGACAGTAGAAAAATGATAAAACGGCTCATTTTTCGTTTTTTAGGTTTTTTCCAAAAAAACGAAAAACAAGAATTCAGCTTAAATTTTCGTTTTTCGTTCAGGGGTAGAAAAATTAATAAACAGCTTGAATATTCGATTTCTACACATGGGCGGGAATTAAACACCCCTTTCTGCTGATTGGTCAGCCGAAGATCAAACCGTGCCGTCATCAGTTCTTCTGCAGTATCACGCAGCAGAATAATAGTCCTCCACTGCTGCAGTTGTATTGATTCTTAACACATTTATTGCAACTACATTTCATCTTTTTTCATCAAACAAACAGGCTAATGAATAGCTCGACACAACTCATACCGGGGCAGAGTCTAGACAGTGCTTTCTTTCTTTGCATCAGCTGGCATTGCAGGGTATGATATGGCAGCTGTCATAGCCTACCCTGCTCACCCAGTAAGTCTGTTTGTTTAATTCATTAATTTGTTTCAAAATAAATGTTTTAAACACTAAGACAAAAAGGAAGGAATAATAAATTGGCTTGGGTATATATAGGCCTATAATGTTCACGCAAGAACTGTCATTTTGACTGACAACCGGAGAACAACAGATATTAAATAGCCTACTGTTAGAGTTTTATAATGTAGTCTTGTGTTTTA